GGTAAAGTGTTTGTGGGAAAGAGGGAGTAGTCTTGATAGTTGTGTTCAAGAGCTCAGGTGCTAGAGACAGAGATGCTGGGTGACTTCCCCATGGCTTGGTGTCGTCATCTGCAAATCTGGAGTAACGATACCCATAGGTAGTTCTTACAGTTGTTGAAGAGGATTAAATGAGAAGCAGAGTTACCTGGCACTTAGCAAGTGCTCAGTAAATGCTACCTCTCACTGTTTGCTGACTCCTTTAATTAAAATGCATTTTGCTTCCTAATACAAACAAGACCTGTTTCAGATACCAGGCTGTTTTCTCCATTTTGAGTTCATTTTCTAGCATCTTACAGAATTTTTATGTGTTCTAAAATGCATTTCTGATTCCTCTTCCACACATGTAGGAGTCCCTGAAATTAGCACATGGCCCCCCTGGTGGCTGACTCTCAGTTCAGGCTCCTTGTTGATGGCTCCTGCACTAGGCAGGCACCTCCTCTCTGGAGGCATCTAAAGTGCCTTTTGCAGGGCAGCTGTTTGTGCAGAGCCCACAAGGCAGTCATGCATTTTGTCCATATTTGGTCCTAACCTATCAAATGAAACCCACAATGCCAGAGCAGAAATATTATCTTGGCTGAGCAAAGTCCTCCACTGACCTTTCAGAATGAAAGAATGTTTTAGAAACTCTGGCTTGCTAGAAGTCTCTTCTGCCAAGAAAACCACTTGAGGTCAAGGGTGTGAGAGTAGAGTTCAGTGGGGCAAACTTCCCCTCTTGGAAGCTCAAAGCAGACCCAAGTTAGCTTGGCTGGGTAAGATTTCAGGAACGCACTGGGGCCTTGTTTTAGTTCACCCTGAATGACTCCAGGTCTTTGTCTGCAAACTAGGCTGAACTTAGACATGCAGGCCTATATTTCTCCTTGAAGACCTGAGGCTGGGGAAGGTAAAACCAAACCCAACAGAGAAGAATGCTCTCTCATGCCTCCTATAATATAAACCACAGAGCACTGCCACCAACTAGGCAGAAACTCAATGGGGGAAGCACAGACCCGGCTGGACCCAGGCCAGGCTCTGCTCCCCTCAAAGCCACCTGCAAATGAAGCAGTTGAGGGAGAAAATAAAGCAAAAGGTAGCCACAGCTTTAGCAGAAAAAGACCTAGAGAATGTTCTAGAGTTTTCTAGAAGGCTCCGATCCGTGTATCCCAGGCACAAAGCTGGTCTTGGGTAGATAGGGACTGATGCACCCTCATGCTAGCGCCCCGGATGAAGTTTCCAGAAATAAAATTTTAGGGATTCTGGGAGGTGAGCAAGCAACAGCCCAAGCACCAGCTGCTTCCTTCATCCTTCCGCACCCTCCTCTCCAAACCGCATTCCTTCTTTCTAGGACCGCCTGAGACTCCAGAAGTCGAGACGGGAAAGGGCTTGATGGCTAGTCTCCTCATTCTCCCCCATTTCAAGGTGAGGAAGAACGTCTGGGCTCAGGTGAGGGACGCCTCCTGCCCAGGGTTACGCGTGTCGGGGGTGGGGGGGAAGCAGCGGAGGTCTCCTGGGCCCTCGGCCCGGGACTCGCTCCTCTCCCCTGGGGCCCCGCAGTACCTTGTGCGTGAGGGAGTGCTGCTTGAGGTGGTGGGGCTGCACGAACTCCATGCCACACTCGGAGCAGATGTAGGGCCGGATGTCCTTGTGCTTCATCATGTGGTTCTGCAGCTGACTCGGGTACTGAAAGGTCTTGTCGCATTCGGAGCAGCTGTACTGGATGGGGCCGCGGTGCGTGGTGAGGTGCCTCTTCAGCTGGGCCAGGGTGGGGAAGTCGAGGCCGCACTCCACGCAGATGTTCTCCCGCCCACTGGCGTGCTTGGCCTCGTGGGCCTTGAGCTCGCTGGGGTAGGCGAAGCCCCGGCCGCACACGCGGCAGTTGTGCGGCTTCACCTCGCTGTGCTGCATCATGTGGCGCTTCAGGTGGCTGGTCTGGGTGAAGGCCTTGTGGCACACCTGGCATTTGTGGGGCCGCGTGCCCTGGTGGGTCAGCATGTGCGTGTGCAGGTGGCTGAGCTGCTTGAAGAGCTTCCCGCAGCGGCTGCACGCGTGCGGCTTGATGCCGCTGTGGCCCAGGATGTGGGTCACCAGGTTGTACTTGGAGGTGTAGGACTTCTCGCAGGTGGGGCACTGCCAGCGCTTCTGCGCGCCGCCCACGTCCACGTAGTAGCTGTCGTCGATCTGCACGTTCACGTCCACCCTCTCCACCTTCTGCTTGGTCTCCTCGCTCTCCCGCGGCTCGGCTTTGCGGGGCAGCAGCGGCTCCGGGGGCCGCTTGGGCAGGAAGGTGTGCCGGCTGAAGGGGAAGGGCGAGGCCGAAGGCACGAAGAAGGGGAACACGAGGCCCGGGGGCACTTTGGGGTAATAGGGGTAGGGCGTGGGCAGGAACGGAGGGGGCGTGGGCCACGTGGCGCTGGGCCTCACGGGCTCCTGCTTGACGGCCTTGCCCCCCAGGTGCTCCAGGCTGCGGTAGAACTGAAAGCCCACGTTGCACAGGTCGATCATCCGCGAGTCGTACTTGGGCCGTGGCGGCGGCGGCGGCGGCGGCGGCGGCGGCGGCGGCGGCGGCGGCGGGAAGAGCAGGCGGAGTTCCGGGGGCCCGGGGTTCTTGCTCTCCGGGTGCAGGGCAAGAGCGGCTTCTTCCGAGGGCTGGTTACAGGGCATCTTGGTGGGCATGCTCTTCCGTTTGCGAGACCCTCCTCCTTCAAAGACCCCCGGGAATCCGTCTAGGCCTCCTGGAGGAGGCTCATACCGGAACTGGGAAAACGGCCCCCGGAGAGCTTCCGGGAAGGGGTGTCTTGGAGGAGCTCTACCTCGGGAAACCACTGGCTGCAGGCCGTGGGGGAAGGAGGGGGCCCTCTTCGCACCCAAACTGAAATGCACACCCTCGTCTTTGACCATCTTCATTTCCTTCTGCATCCTTGGCAATTTTCCTTTAAAGAGAAAGAAACATCGTTAAAAAAAAAACAAACAACAACAACCCTTTTTCCATGAAGAGTTGTGGCTAGATGTCGGTACTAATTTATGAAGAGTAATGTTTGTTTAAGACCGCTCCCCATTTATCCTAAGGCTGTTTAAAACATCATATTTTCCCCCTTGCAAACCCGGTTACTAATGTGGAAAGCACTGACCTCCTGGAGTGGGACCCTAGGGCTCCAGTGTAAATCACAGCCACAAAACCATAGCTGGGGGTGGAGGAGGGGAGGTATGAGAGTGGGCTGGATTGGGAGGAAACCTGAGAACTCATCTGGCCATTGTCCCCACCTGAGATGAGGGCACCAAGGCCCAGAGAGATGAAGCAACACGCTTGAGTCCCACAGCCACTCAGGGCAGGAGTCAGAACACATTCTTCTGCGACTTTTCAGCCTGAGATGGAATTGCATCTGCCAAATGGCGCTTTAAATGTCTTTTAGGGTCATTTCTTCTCTAAGTGAACTGATTTCCACTGCCTCTCCCTGTCTAGGGGCCTTTGATTCTGGAGGATGGGGATATTGAAGGCCACACAGGAGAAGGGACTTTACTGCTTAACTCAGATCTCAGACTTTCTGAGTATCCACCCCCAGCAAAGTGTGCTGCTGGGATATATCGAGCAGATGAGATCAGTGTGATTAAGAAAAGCATATAATCCAATGTTACAGAGTCATCCTGGCAATTTATGCATTCTAATTCTCCACCTGAAGCAACTTCAGGGAAAAAAATTCCAAGATCGTGAGTCTCTAAAACTGCACTTGTGTCTCTTCCTTCACGTTGGTGTCATTCAAAGTAAAGCTTGGCCTTTGGTGTTGGTGACTCCTGTGGTGCCTGTCATTTCCCTGCTGACCCAGTTACTGTGTCCTGGTGACAGCATCAGGTATGTCTAGGAGAGCCCGTAGGGCCAGAATCTAAACCAGGGGCCATGCTTCCTTTCACACGTCTCCTTGTCAGTTTTCTATCCTCCTCACTTGGATGCAAGTGGAAAGAGCCAAGTGGCTGATTTCACATTTCCAGGGAAGGCCCTTTCTACCTAGATCCTCTGAGCTTGAATGGGATTGGTCCCCTTTGCTCAGCAGAGGCTCCCACAGAACCAGTCAGCCTGGTCAGGTGTCAGGTCCGGCCTCAAGCCACTGAAGACAGGGCTGGGATAGGTTCTGGACTAACTCAGGTCTCTGGCCCCGGGAATGATTACATGCTGAGCAGTGCAGGGTGAGGGTTCCAGGGGTGAGAGGACCAGTGATTTTCTGTAGTCCCTGGTGAGGCAAATGCAGTTTTTACAAGTACCTGGATATTCCCAAATCACATGTGTGTCTTTATGAGAGGTTTGAGAACCACAGCACAATTAGAACAGAAAGGGGTCTTTTTATGTTGGATTACCAATTCATACACAGAAATCCAACTGAGGGAAAAAATATGTGCCCTTATTATATGAATATTTGGACATTCTTTAAAACTGTTATGTGAAACTGTTAGCTGTTATGTGAAACTGTTAGAGAACTAAAGCATAATGTCAATTAGTCTTTGCTTTGTGTTTCTGTGAGTGGGAAGATAGCCCTGACTTGTCTGCTTTCTGTGGGTTTGGGGCTTAGTAATTAAGAGGGGGAGTTTGACTGTCCATCCTGTGCCCCATCCTTTTTTTTGCTTCTTCCTAAAATTCTTACTGAAATGCTAGGTCTTCTACCACTGCTGCCTCAAGGACCACGTACTTGTAGGAAGTGATGAGAGCAGTACGAGAATGCAATGTCTAGCTTTGTGAGTCCAGGAGGGGTGTGGGGACGCCATCAAAATGAGGGGAGTAGTGCAGCTGCTGTGAAAGGACCAGGACAAGGATGGAGAGGGCAGAGGCTCTTGGATAACTTCCTAGATCATCTCTTGCCTAATTCATCAGGTCCGGAGCCCTGGATTCACACACAGCTAACGAGGGGGTGGCCCTGGCCCACGAACTTGTTGCATCTATGAAAATAATTGGCTTTCAGACAAAGCTAATGTGTCCCATTGAAACAGAGGGGGAAAAGTGGCAGCTCCTTTCTCTGGAATTTCATTTTGGCCACAGTTGGTTGTATAGGAGGTCCTATTTGCAAAAAGGCTGCTCAGACTGGAGAGAACTGTTCCAGGCTGCAGTGACTAGGGCAATCCACAGCAGAACCCATCCAAGTGCAAACAGGTTCTGTTTTATTCTTATCTGGTTAAAAATGGCAATGATTCCTATGTCATATTAGAGAGCTTGATTGGAGAACTGGTAAAATAGACACATATCAGAACATGGGCCATAACTTATTGAGTTTTTTGTGTATTTTATCGTTAAAAAGCTATTTGAAAGTGCATGGCTAATGCTGTCTGGTACCTTTATACCATGTGCTGTATCATACCAGAACGTTACTTACTTGGAAAGGAGTGTTATCACTAATTTTGAAACTGAAGTTATTTTGGTTTGTACACATTATTATGGTCTTTGTTTAATATTTTTGGTTTTAGTTGTGACATAGTCTACTAATTCACTCATTTTAATATATTAGAAGTGGCACTTCTAATATAATGTTAAGTTCAAAAGCATATTTATTTTCAGTGTTTACATTTTTATTTTGTCACCATTGACCTAGTAAAGCAAAGAAACATTGTTAAACAGAGCTGATGTGATTTTTTACATAAATGGCGGAATTATGTCTCCCAAATCCAGAGATTTTACATATGTACATTTTAATTTCCTCCCTACTTTAGTATGGTAAAAATTTTTACCCAGTTTCTGACTTGTGCATATACATACCCCACCTCTAAAATAGTAGTCTGCCTGCTCTAGAATAAAATCAGTAACTCAGGAGGTTTCAGAAAGCATTGAGATCCATCCATGCACATTTCCCCAGACCTGTAAAACAGCAGCCCCTTTCTGCATAAAGATCTGAAGGAGCACTGCCAATCCCTACAGAGGTCAAGGAGAACGAGATCTGCTTCCTCCCGACCTTCTTGAGACATAAGCCAGCTAGCTGCTGGCTAGCTGCTGCTAGTTATTAATATCACTGTCTTTTGAGTCCAGGGTGCCAAGGACAGCCCTGGGAGGGGGGGTAAAAGAATTACACCCCCAAAACAAATCCATATCAGGGATGGGGAGTGTTGAAGGGACGAGCAGGGAAAGGATGTCTTCCTCTGGAGGTCATTTATCAGTCAACTTAAAACTCTGAACGGCCTCTGCAAAAATATTAACAGATTCCTAGAAAACCTGAATGTGTGCCACCGCACGCTCCCCTCTGTCTCTAAAAATAGCTCCGCAGGCATCCAGGACAGATGCGGGATTCTTATGTAGGAGGCAAGAGAGTCTTGGGGGCAGCGTAGTGGGTGGGGGAACCACAGCCCCTCCCCTGGCCAGTAATCTGTGGCTGCTCCCAGAAAACCAGCAGGTTAGAAGACCATTCCCCACCAGGATGTGCTGAAATAATGTGCAAAAATAAAGAACTGAAATTGTCAAAGTAGACAGCTGTAGGAGAGTGCAAAGAGCATTGGTTTGGAGGCTGAGGATCTGGGTTTGAATGCTGGCTTTGTGTCAGCAGCTGTGGGAACATGGTGCAAATTAATTTGGAGGTTTGATTTTCTCATCCATGAAATAGGGGTTGGGATATCCCCATGGGGTTGTTAGAGACTTAAAATAGAACGTGTATGTGAAAGCTTATTAACACTGGACAATGTGGTAGTAGTACTCTTGAGTGGTAAGAAAGAATAGACATGAGAGGAGGGTTGGGGTGGTGATCAGTGGATTGAAGCTGACTGACCTCATCTCTGTTTTCCAAGCTGAAGCTCTTGGTCAACAGTGACTGGCATCTGGGCCTCCTCAAAACCAAGGCTTTACCCATTTACCCCGAGCTGGTCTTATCCCAGCAGTGAATGTGAACCACACTAAAAAAGGCCAACGGGTAAAGCCAGGATGAGTTTATTTATGATCAACCTTCTAGTATAAGAATACTCCCCCATCCCTTCTTTATGGCTCTTTCCTCTTACGGACATATCTTTGAGCCTGCATTAGTAACAGATGACTTTGGTTACAAAAGGGATTGGGGATTGGGTGGGGACAAAGGGGACTGGGTGGTCTCATGAGCAATTTTAGCCAGTCTGTGGGAAGCTGAGGAATTGTTCCTATTTTAATATCAGAAGTCATCTTCCAAGGGACAAGAGGACCTGTTTGTCAAACCCAAAGTCTCAGACACTGGGACAGTGCTGGGTCAACGCTGGCAAACCAGCTCTTGCAATGCCTGCGGGACTGTGAGGGCAGAGACTGGGTCTGTTTGATTCACTGCTGGGTTTCCAGTCCCCAGCATGATGCCTGATGCAAAGTAGGTGCTCAGTAAACTGCTGTGGGATGAGAGAAGGAATGAATGGTTCTTGTTTTTAAAGTCCCCATATGGAACTTTAAATGTTTAATTTTATCTTACATTATCTAGACTGCAGGTGACTTTTGGGGGACATCCCTAATCAGATCATGAGCACACTCATATATTCTCGGGTAGTTATTGTGGGAAGAACCTGATTTACACACCTTGTGTGTGCTCTTGCTTGGCTCCGTTCCCAAGGTTACCACTCTCTGAATTGACCCTCAGGTTTAGAGTAAGCCCTAAATCCTGGCTATACTAATGCTAGGATATAAGATTCTGCAACTCAGTCAGAAAACAGATGCCTGAAAAGTCCAATAGGCAGCAGATAGAAAGACCCCTGGACTGAAACTGTGAAACATAAACCAAGAGTGGGTGGTCACCCTGCACTCTTCCACCCCAAGGAAATGTTTGGGAAGTTGGTAGCATCTACCCCTTGTACTAACGTGGGGTGGAGAGGGAGAGGCCTCTGAATAATCATGCATCTTCATTGCTAGAGTCAGACAATGTTCTAAGGTTCCTGGCTTTCTTCCATATATACTCAATCGCCAAACCCAATAGGCTGTAAGTCAGGAAGCAAATGGTTTGAGG